AAAATAGTTAAGGACAGGAAGTCCACAACTGCACCTTAAAAATGCTTCAGTCATAGGCTGTTTTTTAATTAAATTACAAGATCTCAATCACATCTTGCTACTATGCCAGTCATTCTACTTGAATTAGTTTGCCTGGTCTGATAATGAGATCCATCCCTCTAGAAAGCTTTGCCTACCTTATTACCTTTCTGTAATTAGTCCAATATAATAAGCTAATATATGCAATTGTGTGTGAGCTTTATTGTATATAACTGTTATCTATGAATAATATATATGGGAAACCCAAAGAGAAGCTAATTTGATCTGACACACATGCAGCAGTGGGTCATATATATATCCCTGATATATATATATATCCCTGACATACAGAGATACTGTATATCTCTGATGGTATGTAATAATATTATCTCATTCAAATCTCTACCATTAATATTCTCTACATTTAAGTCAATTCTTCTTATAGGATAGATTGTTCTATCCTTAGGAAGACTCATCTGTGTACCAGAAAACAATATTGGTTAACATCTATTATCTGTAATTTTCTCAAACTGGTACTAACTATAATCTAATATCCATATGCTGAAAAAGTGCTTTCAATGAAAGTGGTATATTTTTCATTGAGAAATAATTCCAAATAAAACTTGTGCGTATACAAAAGACATTTTATTTTAAAAAAATAAGTAACATTTGATTTGTTTTTTGATGGAAAACTGGAAACTGTAGGAGTCACATTAATGCATTTTCTTTGGGGAGAAGACAGCTGCTGAAAGACATCTCTTCTGAGCAGCTGGATGGGAAAATGTAAAGCAGGAGCGGAGATTATGTGGCTCTAATTTGCTGATTGCCATGGTGGAACTAGTGTAAAGCTGGAAATAATCTATACTAGCCCCCTGGAGAAAGAGCAAGAATGTGATTCCATACATTTCCCCCCTTATTAGGCTGGCTTGTATGGTTGCAGTCTAGTTCACAAGGATCTGCAAGTAGCACCATGTGTAAAGGATCTTCAAGGGCCCATCACTTAGAAAGACACTTATTCAGGAGAGAGTTTCAAGGTGTGATTGAACATGAAGATAGTATCTTAGATAACTGCTCCACTCTATACTTCAGGTCGGGGAAGAACTACAAACAAACAACAACAAATGGAAACAGGTCAAATTCAATCAGTTGTTCTTATGGATACTACTGAAGGACTTGAGCTATTCCCTTTGCATCGGTGGTAAATTTCACCTAACTTGAATATGACCTGAATATCACAAAGAGGAAATAAAGGTCCTGATCTTTTATTCCTTACACACAAAACTCCAAATGAAATCAATAGCTGTTTATGAAGTGCAAGAAACACAGGACTGCACTCCAACATATATGTTTGTCAAAGCTGACACACAATAGTTTGAGGAGTTTAGTTTCAGAATGCTATGAAAGTCTGCTGCTGATTGATACAAGACTGAGACTGCCTTTATGCACATAAAGGATTTATTCATGGTTTAATATATTTTTTTCAGTGGCAAATACATACATGGCATTACAGTTATATTGTGAAATAACATGGAAAATCAGTTATGACAGAAAGGATAAAAATCCACACACTTAGGGTGTCTTATTTAATTTGTCAAAAGCACTTGAACTGTTGAGTGAATCTAATGAAGTTCAATGAATTTACAAGTACATCTTCAGTCTGTTAAAATGACTGTCAATTCAAGGTTACTTCATGAAACTGAAATAAGAACAAAGATTATTTGGGGAAGATTAAGCATAAGGAAGGTGGTCTACCTATGTCTGGAAACTAAATAGGTCCCTGACCGCCTTGTTGCTTGAATAAGGTGTGTGGCCCTCCTTGATAGGAAAGCCACTTACATTACTTCTGAGTAACTGATTCTTGTAGACATGGAGGAAATGGTGAACGTCAGAGGGAGATGTAGCATACGGTGACAGGGGACACTGGAAGACAGTGATAGGCAAATTAGAATATACTATTCTAACAAACATAACCAAATATTTTTTTCCAGGAGGCATAGACATAGTTGCCTATGTTTGAAGTCAGATAGAAGGTATGGCAGGGTGGGACACTGGAGTGGGAACAGGCATGCAAACAACCTGACTCAGGGTTTTATTGCATGGTAATTTTGGGTGGCTGCTGGAGCTCTTAACACCTGGCTTGTACGTACAGCAACACCTGAAACTAGTTAAGAAGCACAAAGTTATACAGCTCAAAGTTATACCACTCCATAGCAGGATTAGCTTTGATCCCTGTTACCCATCTTGTGTTACAATAAGGTGTAGCCAATCTAGGCTGCATTTTAGTGTAAACACCTGACCTGCTCCCCTCCCCTGCTGGCCTGGATCAGGCCCACTGCACTCCCCTGCCTTCCCTAGCACCCCAGATCCCAACTCATGCCCCTGCCCGCTGCTTACTTGTGACTGCCCATGCTGTCTGTGCTGAGGAAGCAGGCAGGGCAGGGTTAAACTGCCTGCCTGGCCACTGCTGCTGCTCTCAAGGTGGGCTCAGCCTGGAAAAGAGCAGTAGCCCTGCAGTGGTGGCAGCGGCAGCTGGGCAGGCAGGTTAACCCTTGTATGACTGATCTGGTTGTGAAGATACTGATAAGCCCTGGTAATAAAAAGTTGTTGCCATTTGTCCCATTTCCTTACTTATTTGAATGAACTGTATAGTCAGGAAAGAGAAACCACAAAACTGATAAATTGAATTTGATATTCTATATCAAACATATCCATTTCTTTAAGAAACTTAGGTCTCAGAACACAAGATTTATAAAGTAGTTACTTCTCTGAATTTTAAAGTAATTGAAATCACTTACATAGCTGGATCACAAATAAAACCAACTCTAAGACATCCATAATGTAAATCATATCCATTCATCTTGGCACCGCAGAAGGGGAAACAATAACATTTACCCTCTCTGATCTGAACTCACTGCCTTTAAGTCAGAGAATTCAAGTCCAAGTTTTAGGGTTGTTTATAGTACCCTTAATAATTTAAGCCCAAGGCAGTTGAGCAATATCCTTCCCATTTATGTCCTTCCTGGACAATCAAGGCTGATGGGCTATCATTGCTCTCCACTTTAAGCTTCCATCCAAACTGTGAACAAGGCCTTCTTAGTTCAAGACCTTTATTTCTGGAACTCTTTGCATTGTCCAACTGTAACTATTTTGAAGGAAGAGTAAAAAGCTGCATAGTCCTCCTTTCAACATTTCCACGCCACTTTTTATTTTTGCTTTTGCATACAGTCTCTCTATGGAATTCATTACAGTCTAATTTTTTTATTACCGATTTTACAGCAGATAACATTATGATAGATGCAAGAGCATTATAAATAAACAAAACAAGATGGATAATTTTATTTTTTTCAATTGACTTTATCTTTGTTTTCTTCTGTGACATTTAGGATCACAACAGTTTTAACCAAATATATTCGGGAAATATGTTTGATAGAAAAAATGCAATTCTTGACTTTATTTACGTTGGGTATTTTTTAGACAGAATGAGAGAAATGGACTAGGTAGGAATCTCTGTATTTATTTTTAATTTCACTGGTATTTGACATCTCCTATTGGCAATCTTCTTTGTATTTTGTTTTCAATTTATATTCATTGTAAAAGTGGCTTGGAGAGAGAATCAATCCTCAGGTTTGGAATGCTGCTGCATTTCTGAGGCGGCTATTCAGGTTTTATACCTTGTTTACTTTATGAAGTACCATTTCTAGTACAACACCACTTGTAATGAGCACATACAGTGCATAGGTATGTGTCTGTACTCTTTTCTAATGAAAACAGGACCTCCACAACACTGGTTAATAAAAGACTTATAGAGAACTGCAAGAGTTTCAAACTGCAACATCATATTTTCAAACATAGTTTGATAGGGATCTAATTAACCAAGGGGCTAAAATAGACAACTGACTGCTTTGAATAAGAAATACTTCTCTGTTTATTCCTTTGTTAACATTCTTATTGGTTGACAGTACACACAGTTAATCATAGAAATGTATCATCTCAGAACCTGTTGAAGCAAGAAATGACAGTAATCATCTTTTTATTCTTCTACTCAGACCGAGCAGCTGCCTGCAGCTCATTCACATTAGTGGAACCTTTTCCTGAGGTCTAGATGTCTTTTACTGTATTTTCAGCTTTTCCAAGTGTAAAGTAATTATCTTATTTACACTTTTCAAAGAAGTGGTTTGTCAGAGGCTTCCAGTTTTAACAGAAATACATGCTCCCACACATTTTTGTTCAATGTTATTCTGTTGAGCAAATGGCTAAATGATAATGTTTATAATAGTAATTCATCCGAAGTAAGTATGTCACTCCTGGATACATAGATGCCAAGGCACTGTTTGTTCTTCCAAGTGAGATTAGCTATCGATTGGGGGTGGATTTGTCCTTTGGTCTACTACTTTTTGTTGCAATAGCAAGAAAATGCAAGAAACATAGATATTGATTGGTTGATAATAGGCTTATATGTCACATTCTTATTTTAAATTATGAGGTTTTCTAGAAATATTAGTACTTTTTTGTAGGTAGAGACTTTTAGAAATGAGAAATGTCTATGCATTGGAAAGTTGTGGAGTTGAGACAAATGCAATATGATTTATGAAGCAAAAATGTTTATTTGCAAAAGGAATTAAATATAACAACTGCATATTTTTTCCCAGATCATGTTCAAATCAGAGTTAATTGTTATGAAGTCTTAACTACTTGCAAGTTATTGAATTTTAAATAAATATTATTCATGGCAACAACCAGTGTAGAGACAATCTTTCTGAACATTATCAGAACAAAAGAAGGACACATTTGTGAAAGGTTTAAGCAATAGTATGTTTGAGGGAAATTTTAAAATAATAAAATAGGGATTACCTCTTTCAGACCCCAAAAAGAACAGTGATATTATTTTAAATGAATTTAGTTCGTATGACAAATGCTGGATTTTCTTCCATAAAATGTAAACTCTTGTATTTAATATCCGCAGATTGTGTACAGAAAAGAAGTGGCATTGTAAGATTTCTCCTACTACCTGACCCATATACCTTATCTGCAACATGGAAAAACATAGTCTATTTGGCTGACACAGGACAGACATGAGAACTTAAAAGGGTATGGAAAATAAACTATCACCTAGGCTTACGAATTCTTGATGTGGGCATTTCTTGGGACAAGTGCTAGGAAAAGAGAAAAATAGTAGTGACCAATAGTGACCAATCTATTTGTACCATTATTTTGTTCCTAAAGATGAAAAAAATCTTCACTTTCTTGCTGGCTTCCTAAATCATACAGTCTTCCTAAACAGAAAAATACATGTACATATTCTGACCCAGAAACATGTAACTTCTTAGCTTCACACTCATGAGGTGGCAAGAACTGCTTTAGTATTCTGTTTGGGACCATACAATAACATGTACTGTCACCAGAAACATTACATCTGGTGCATCTACTTTCATTTTTTCAGTTACTAACAGTTTTGGTGCATGGGGTAAGGCATTATATTGTGTGTTAAGATTTATTTTTCAATAGGAAATTTACATACACAAAGCTGGAGCAAATCTGCTCTCATCCCTTTCCATATTAAAGGTAAACAAACAAACAAACAATGTGTTTTAGCCCTTAATCTCTTTAAGGGCCAAAACTATGGAGCAGTTCTACCTTCCCTTCCAGAAAAATGCAGGCCTGTTGCCAGCATAGTGATTTTTATCATAAATTGTCTGATGACATTTTTGGCAACTTCTGAAGGTCTGCCTAGCAACATCTAGTGCCTTTTTTGTATTTGCCTGGCAAATTTTTGCTTTCAAGTAATGCTGTTTTCTGATGCAAACATTTGACAGTATGTCAGTGTAGTAGTTCTTTTACAACAAGAAGTGAAATTTAACATGGAAAAGTGAACTATATCAAAATAATTTTTAAAAGTGAGACCCTGATTCAGCAAATCTTGTAAGTACATGCTAAGTCCCATTGACTTTGATGAGCACGCACTTAAGTTCTTTGCCAAAACTTAAGTGGTAAAAAGATTAGTTAGATAGAGAAGACTCTTACTTCTCACGTCTCCCTGGAACTAATCAAAGCATATCATAGTATCGTATTCAGGTTGCGTGCTGAAAAGGAGATTAGGACCCAAGTACATGAGATACTTAAAGCTCTTGTACCTCAGTGTAACTTTTAATGTGCACATATGAGGCACTTGTACATGTGACAAAATTGGCCTTTGAAGTGGCTTACTTGCCCTTTTGTACTGCTTTAATGGCATCACTGTTTACACCTGCAGCAGCATATTTTGTTTTAATTTGTCACACTGTACACGTGCAGCAGTGTATTTCACTTTAAATGACTTTGTTACATAGCAAAGTAAAACGCATTTGATGTATTTTAGTTTGCTAAGTAACAAATTGCAACAGTGCATGGGGCACTGGAAGCTCCGGTGTGCTCAGGGAAGCTTGGGCTTGGTAGGCTTCGAGCACCCCATGCACTGTTCCCACCTCCTTCTCCAGCCACCAGCATACCCCCTGCCCTTCTGCCACCTTCCCGCACTGCCCCAGGGGAAAGCCAGCCCATTTCTAGGTTGTTCCAGGTGACAGGAAGACGGCGGGCACAGTGCACAGGGTGCTGGAAGCCTTCCAGTGCCCCATGCACTGTGCCCCATGCACAGGCTTCCAGTGCCCCATGCACTGTTGGATCCAGTGGGTGTTGCCTGCAACCTGGTGGCAGCTCATGTGGGCAGGCTCTGCCAAGAAATAATAATAATTAAAAAATTAGAGGCCTAGGTTTGTGGGTTTCCCTCCCCCCCCCCCGAAGAGCCTGCCTGCCTCTCCTGTGGCTGGGGGATAGGCTGCCAGTGGGCCAAGTGGTCCCTGAGCTGTTGGGGGCCCTGGACCTTCCCTCCATGGTGGCGATATCCCCCAGAAAGAACCTGCCTGCTAGCTGCCCACCCAGGAAGTTCCAGGGACTGCTGCCGTGGAAGAAAGTACCAGGGCCCCCTGAAGCTCAGGGGCCACTTGGCTCACCAGCAGCTCACCCCCCAGCCACAAGAGAGATGGGAAGGCTCCAGGAGGGAGGGGTACAGGGGAAAGGGATCAGGATCCTTGCTGCTTTTTTTCTTTTTTTTCTCAGTGGAGCCTGCCCATGAGAGCTGTGGCCAGGTCATGCAGTCCCTGAGCTGCAAGGGGTGAGGCTGGTCCTTCCCTCTACAGTGGCAGTGCCCCATGGGACTGTCCAGGTGGAGTGCTAGTGGGAGGGTGCTGCTTGGGGGCCACCGCTGCTATAAAGGGAAGATCCAGGGCCCCCCACAGCTCAGGGCCCATGGGTAGCTCACCCTCCAGCTGTGGGAGAGGTAAGCAGACTCCAAGAAATAAGAAAAAGGATCAGGCCCCTCACCACTTTTTTTGTTTTTTTTCTGGCAGAGCCTGCCCACAGTGACAGGGGTGGGAAGGTGAGCTGGCAGGGGGCCATCACTGTTCTGTCACAATTAAAAACCCACACAGTTAATCAACACAGTTAAAAACCCACTGTTTCAATGTAGGGAGAACTAGACCACCGTCACGTTTACAAGTGGCCATGATTTTGTTCCAAGATTTCAAAATATTTTCGCATCTACAAAATGCCTACTTATGGAATAAATATGCTTGTTCCTACCTGTGGGTGCTTTATTCATACTACCTTTTTCTCAGTTTATGTATGTGGTGGCTCCAGATGCATAGAAAATATATGGAGTGTGAAAAAAGAGAATGATGAATGTATGTAACTTAAATTTAAAAAAAAATTCACAATTTTTTTATTTTTGTAAATGGGGAATTTTTAGAAATAATAGGCTTCTTTCATTTCCCTTTCCCCCTTCTTTCCCTCAAAAGAGTAAAAATGTGACCAGCAGAACTGCAAGCTTTCCAATACCTCTCCATCAATCTATATCTAATCCATTCTGGAGGAACTATAACTAAATAAGGAGCTTTTATAATTCCCATTAATCTCTTTAGTCCTTGGTTTTTTCTCTAAGAATGACATTTTTTTGTGATGTGTTTACGCATCTGCTAGGACCTGCAAGTGCTGTTCAACACCACTGAGATCACAAGATTTATGACTCTTGCCTGACCATAAAATCATAGAAAATTAGGGTTGGAAGGGACCTCAGGAGGTCATCTAGTCCAACCCCTGCTCCAAGTAGGAGCACCCCCAACTATATCCCTGCCCAAGGCTTTGTCTAGCCAGGTCTTAAAAATGTCCAAGGATGGAGATTCTACAACCTCTCTGCATAGCCTCTTCCAGTGCTTTACTACTCCCCTTGTGAGGAAAAAAGGGTTTTTTCCCCTAATATCTAACCTAAACTTCCCTTGCTGAAACTGGAGACCGTTGCTCCTTGTTTTCTCATCAGCCACCTCTGAGAACAGCCTAACTCCATCCCCTTTGGAACCCCCCTTCAGGTAGTTGAAGGCTGCCATGAAATCCCATCTCAGGTTTCACTTCTCCAGACTAAATAAGCCCAGTTCCCTCAGTCTCTCCTCAGAAGTCATGTACCCTATCCTGTAACCATTTTTGTTGCCTTCTTCTGGACTCTCTCCAATTTGTCTACATCCTTTCTGTAGTGGGGGAGATGGTGGCAGGGAAAACTGCACACAGTACTCCAGGTGTAGCCTCGCCAGTGCTGAATAAAGGGGAAGAATAATTTCCCTCCATCTGCTGGCAGCACTTCTACTAATGCAGCCTAGTATTCTGTTAGTCTTCTTGGCAACAAGGGCACACTGTTGATTCATATGCAGCTTATTGTCCACTGTAACCCCCAGGTCCTCTTCTACAGAACTGCTGCTTAATAAGTTGGTCCACAGCCTGAACCAGTGCATGGGATTGTTCTATCCTAAGTGCAGGACTTTGTCCTTGATGTGAATCAGCATACTAAAAGTGGAGAAACTCATTTTTGGGTCACCAATCCTTTCTATTTATGAAAACACACACACATACTTTCACAGAGTATGTGTATAATGATATGAAAGTGTCACCCATTAAATGCCTGCATTATTCACTTAACTAGCAAGAGATAAAAAAGGCAGCTAAAATTTCAATATAGCATACATTATTGACTATCATGATAGACAGCTGTCCAAGTACCTAAACTGAATTATTTTCATTAACAGGGTTTAAAAGGTCTGTGCTTTCAGAAGAATTAAATACACTTAATCTGCATCATCAGCATTAAGCCTTAATCTATTGTAAGAGATAAAAATTCTGGTACTTGATTCTTAGATAAACCAGAACACTTTCAGGATGATGGGATAAGGGTAGAAAAAGAAGACATGCCCTTCAAGCATAAAATTAAGGCCCTGAACTATTGTTGCATCTGAGCCCATGATGACTCCTCTTTATGGTAAGCAGTTGAAATGTCAGAAGAAAATCATAGGTTGGCTTTAGTGCAGAATCTTAAATTAAGTGAGATAAACCCTTTTGAAGTATAAACTTATAATTTTAATTTGTGACTCTCTTTATTTCATATCACAGCCTCAGGAAACCTTCTTTTACATTGTGAACATTACCTGCTATCTGATCTGCCTTTAAATGAGCTTTCATTTGTTCCAGAGGGACCAGCACAGGATCTTCTTGATTTTGTTAGCCAACAATTGTAAAGTATTATTAAAGTAATTATTATTTTTTAAATTTAATTGTTTATCAACAGTACCCAGAAGACCACATAAACTACCTTCTGCAATTCAATGTAATCAGATACAAGGAAATATCTCTTGAAGACATGATAAAACAATATTTTAGTACTAGAATTGCTCTTATGTTTATTTCTGTATTATAATGACAGACAAAAATGGGTTTTGAGCAAAATTGTAATAAAACAGCATCCAAAATAAAAGAATGTAGTTGATGTGATATAATATTTACTGTATCAATGCAATTATACTGATATGAGCAGTGCTTTTATTTATTTCAAGTTCGCTGGAAAATTGTAACAACACAGGGTATTAGATTAGTACGTGCATTACTGTGCATCAGGAAGTATATTGTAGTATATCATATTAGTATATGTGTTCTATTTGTTAATCACATTAGAATAGCGTATTTTATCACATGCATATTTATCAACCTAGTAAAATACACTAGGCTACTTGGTATAGCGCAGTTATTGCTCTGTGGGGTCAGGCCAACTCTCAGGATCTCAATATTGTGCTGTTAGGAGGGCGTGGTGTACAATTGCACATGCACACACTCAAAAATCAATTAGGTGTGCGCACACACACACACACACTAGGTGCATACACACACTCTAGGTATATGCATCCCCACCAAGTGTGCACACACACATTACCAATTCAGGCACATACACATCCAAACTTACCAGCCTAGGCACATGCACACCTATCACTAATTCAAACACCTACACATACTATACAGACCAAAAGAAATTAGACCAGAATCAATTACCAATACCTGCACACCCAATACATATACACAGCTCACTAATTTGTATATCATGTACACAGTGGCATACGTGTATATCAGTTCACATATATACCACTCACCTACACATACACACAGGTGAGTTCCTAACTTGGGTGTTGTGGTGTGTATGTATGTGCTTGGTGTACTTTGGATACCTGGAGGAAGATTAAGGTAAGAGAGAGAGAGTGAAAGCATAGGGGGTGAAAGTCACTGGGACTGGGATTAGAACCGGTTAACTAGAAAGATAGCTCAGCTGAAGAGCTGAGGCTCGGGGTTACTTTAGGTTACTGCTGGTGGAGACTGAGATGAAAGTTGCCGGTACCCGGATTAGAATTGGCTGACTGGAGGGAAGTTGGGGTAACTTAAGGTTAATTGGTGTTAATTGAAAGCAGAAAGCCAGCAGTGCAAAGGAGCAATACCAGGGAGAAGCCCAGAGGCTGGAGCCGGAGCAAGGAGGCTACAGGGGAGCCGAGAGGTACGTAGGAAGAGGAAAACTGGGAACGGGGCTGCGGGGATTGGGGAGGCTGGAGAACACAGAGAGAGAGAGAATTAAAGAGAAGGCAGAGAGAGAGAGGGTAGAGGTGGCAAAAGGCAAAAAGTGGCAGGAACAGGGCTGAGAGCCTGCAAAAAGCAACAGGGCTAAGAGCCTGCAGAAAAGGGACAGAGAGGAGGCAAAAAGTTCGGGAACAGATCTGAGAGCCGAGAGGGAGAGAGAGAGAGAGAGAGACAGAGACCTGAATGTAAGATACGGAAGGGACTGGAGCTTAGTAAAACACATCCCAACTCGGGATTACAAATGATAGTGGTTTTACTGAACAGGGGAGATGGTGACATATTTTATTGGTTCCTTTGTACCCTCACACACACACACACACACACACACACACACACACACACACAGAGACAATGGCAGCAGGGGCTAAAGAGGCTTGGTGCAGGGGCTGAAGTCCAGGAGGAGAGAGAGAGAGTCCAAATTGGAGGAGGAATTATGCAGGTGATATCTACCTATCCCAGGCTGAAAGTGGGTCTTCAATGGCCAGTCGGGGTCTCCTTCAGCTCGGTGTTGTTGCCAGGAGGGCCTCTGGAATGGATAGGCGGTGTGACGTGGAGCTGTTCTGGTCCAGATGGAAATGGCATTCCCAAGGAGTCAGTCTTCACTACCCCTTTTTATAGGGCAGACTACCTATGATCTCCTATGGGGAGGTTCTGTCCAGGCAAGGTCAGTCCTGTTCCAGAACATTCCAGGTGTTCATACTGAGCATGTGCAGCCTTGGCACAGTGGTGGGTTGTCTCATCTTTTGGTTCTTGAATACTGATGGTGGTTCCAAGGGCTGGGTCGTTGGTCCAGGTATTGGTGTTGATGGTTTGGTCATTCAGAGGGAGCTATTTTTAGACCTACTGCCATTGTCTCTCAAGCACCCTCATTCATCCCTATTCATTCAGGAACCAAGTTACATAGGAGGGGTAGTATGAGTCATGGGTTACACAATCAGGCATGGGGATAAGATGGAGGCTTGACATTACAAGATGGAAACTTGACATGACTTATGCTAACTTACATATATAGGCCTAAAATAGTAATCACACTAATAATAGTAATCACAGTAATAAAAGCACTAAAAAAATCAATACAAACATAATAATTATCACTTATAAAACAGTGGATATCTATATCAAAATAGCAGGGCACTTATTTGCAGAGGGGAAAGACATAAAACTTACTACCTAAAATAAAATGTTAACGCTTATCCTACCTTTTAGCTTACTTATACTTAACTATAGGGAATAGAGAGGGAGAGACAAAGTCAGAAATGGTTGGGGAAGGAGAGGGAATGTATTTTAAAATAAAAAAAAGAAAAACTGGGGGGTATTGCTATGCAGTTATTTGTGCCACAATGGTTAAGGGCCTTGTCAGGATTTTCATTATATTTCTCTATTTTCAGGGGTGTATACCTTAGTAATAAAGCTTTGCTCCAAGTTGAAACTTGGCAAAAACACTCAACACTGAGGAGCATATTTTTTTCCAACAAAATTTTAAAGGGGAAACTCAGGTCAGCTATCATTGTGCTGTATGATTATTTTATATTTATTGTTAATCATAACAATAGAGAGTTCCATTGGTATATGTGCCAGGATTTTATTCTCCAGGCAATTACACCAGTGCAGTTCTGGTGAAGGCAATAGAGTTGCACTGACATAAAACTGGTATAACAGAGCCACATCTAGCCCATATTTTGTTCTTTTTTGCAGTTTTTATGGCTTGTATATAGTCAGTTTCTAATGCATGAAAATCAAGAGGAGAAAGATTTATCCAGGACAAGTAATTTGTCAAGATTCAAGATGGAATTAATTCACAATTGTTTGTTTTTTCTGGGTATTAAACACAGTTACATATCAAGTGTGGATACATGCTCTTATGGAAAGTGTCATTGGGAAATGATGTGGGGAAAGAGAGATAATTAGGGTACAAGTAGGCAGTCTTTGGTGTAAGTGTGTCTAAGGGTAGAAATTAGCAGCCTTGCACATGTTTCTTTAGAGCCAGTGTGAGGCAGAGAGGAGGAGAGAATATGTAAGTGGTCATGGTGACCCAGTCATTGTAATCCTCAGAACCTCTTAGGTACCTTTCCAACAGTTGCATGTGTCTGGAAGGAATATGTCATGTATATAAACTCAGATGAGGCTATAAGGCATCTGATTTATTTTGCTAGATTCTATACCAGGTTCTATGCACGTGTGAAGCCAGCCAGATGCTTCCTGACAGTGAGTCAAGTCACCAGCTAACATCAGAAAACATTCTTAGTAGCCCTAGGACTCCAGCCCCTGTTCTGCAATGCCTAAATGAGTATTTTCCCAAATAAAAGTTTTTAGTTCCTCATCTAAAGCATGTCTTTCCCTCTGAGCTAGGATTTCCTGAAAGACTTCATTTATACTTTGTGGGGCTTACTCCTCAGACCTTTTTTCCTGGTGATAAGCCTCCATTTTATGTTGAGGCTTCCTTCAAAAGACTGGCTTTTAAGTTACAGTCTCCTGGATTACATTCAGAAATAACCTGCTTGGGAATTGAGAAAGGCTGCTCTGTTTTCTTCTCTTTCTCTCCCTGAACCCAGGCTGCCTTCTGTATCCCAGAAGGATTTGGCCTGAATTGGCAAGCTTGAGACATGTCACCCCAGGACCCCGTGAGGAGGTAAATCAGCTGATCCTAGAACAAGGTACAGCCAAAGCACAGCTCCTTTAAAAAGCTCAGTCTAAACAACACACATTGTCTACTTATCTGTCTATGGTTGTGGCAGGATCTGTGTCAGGGTCATACTCCCCATGCTTGTGACCAAGTTATCCTTCTAATATTTATCAGTCACAAGCATGGAGAGTATAACCCTGCCATAGATCCTGCCACAACCATAGACAGACAATGGGGAAAACCATAATTTGGGCAACACTGAACTTGAATTAGGAGAAGTAGACAATGGGTATGGCTAACATTTAGAACAGGTGCTCAGGTAGGAGAACCTCCCATAGATATATATGACTAACTCATGAATGGATATCCATCTAATTGCCACATCCTTTTTTCATCTTTAGCAGATGCAGATAGCAGTGATGAATTTATACATGTTCCATGGGATAAAAGCATCAGAGTCAAGTTTATGTGTTATTACCATGTATGTGGTTGATCAGACCATTTGTACTAATGTCTGAATCTCCACCATATTCTTAGGACCATAGTCTTCATGTAAACTGCTTATAAGGCTGCTGTTCATTACTGAAGTTTGTAGCGTGGGTTTAGATTCAGCATAGTTCAGCTGCTGGGGAGGGCCACATGGGGGTAATTAATTACACCCACCTGGTCTCCTACTCAAACAAACACATAAGGAGCCATGCGAAAAGGGACCACCCTACAATATGGTAATGGACACATTCTGCACCCCTAAGCTTCCTGATCTGGATGGACCACCCCAACTTGGTACCTCAGAGGTCTTTACCCAGATGGAGTCTATGGTCCCGGCCTCCACACAGATGGAGTCCTTGACTCCAGGCTGTGTAGGCTGCCTTGCACATCTTCTGGAAGTGCCTGCTGGATGCTGGCACTCCCACCTGTGGGATGTGCTTGCTGGTGGAGACTCTGGAGGGCTGGGTGAGGGAGCTCCAGGAGGAGGTGAGCAGACTGCGAAACACCAGGGAACATGAGGCAGATATTGATGCTTACTGCCAAGCCCTACATCTGGAGAAAGATGCCACAGAGACCAGGCAGAAGAGCGGGCTTGAGCAAGATCCCCCAACTGACAGTGGATAGAAGTTGGTCACATCAGGCCCAAAGCCATGATGTGCATCAGTTGCTGCACCAATAGCCCTGCACAACAACTATGCAGTCCTCACACCATCGACAGACAAGGCATCTGCATCCTCTGAACTAA